GATGGGCTGCTTATGATTATAAATAATGTATAAATCCATAACCGCACTAACAAACTAGCTGTTTCCTACCCCTTTTGGCCGCAGTTTTTTGGGCAGTGCCTTGGGGTAGACGGGTAGGTATCCCCTCCTCCTCTTTTATTCCCAGTGTCATCGAAATGGTTTTGTTTTGGTTTGATATACATATAAAAACAACCACAAAATTTCCTATGTGGAGGCTTAACAAAGAGTATACAGAACTGGAGCTGTGGTAAGAATCTCTCTTGACACTAAAGGTTGCTTATTACAGCATTCGTCTGTCTGCACCAATTAATAGGTCATCTATATGCTCATTTGCAAAACTTTCGTCTCCTTTCGCAATGATATGGTTGTCTCTTTTCTTTATTTCACCTAGTTGTTTTTTTTTTTCTCCCCATGAAAGGGCACTGCGTGACTGGGCTACATAATCTGTCATTCTTTTCTGGCTCTAGTAAATCTATTCTTCATTTCCTTTATGATACTCAATAGTAATAAGATCTTGAGCATACAATGGAAAAATCCTGAAAGGACATGATGAATTTTTTTCTGCTTTTTGCGCAGTTAAAACTTTTCGTGGCTTCTTGAGTCTTAAGTTTTTGCATGGTTTTTTACAGTTTGAGGTTGTGGGGAAGTCAGAGGATGGGTGGATCTGTTTGGAATCTTTATTTTGAATGTCATTAATATGATGATTGGGGTGAAGTGTTCTTGGAGTTTTTCCCAAGACTCTAGATCCTGACCTGGATTTGCCCAATGTTTGTGCTTCAGACTTTAACAGAATAACCGGTGTGAGCACGGTTCATCCTATATTGCTCCCAAACCTGCCTTACGAAGTATTCTCTCTGGTCACTGCTGGAATGGCACCTGAGTTACGGGGAGCGTACTAAAGCACCGGTTGCTAATCCACACCCCAAGTGGGCTTCACTGAAGTTGTTGAATGAAGTTTGTTGGAGTCAGTGGCCAAAGTGTTTGGGGAAAAAGAAAAAGAATTACTTGAAGCCAGTGTTCTGGAGATAACAACGAACTGAAAAGGCTTCTTTTCCTGAGTTTGGGGAACTGTTATTAAAATGTTAAAATCAAAGGACTAGATTCAAAGGAGATGAGGCAACTTGTACAAAACTAAGTAGGAATGCTGCCTGGAGGATGGGATAGTTCAGGCCTTTGGGTTTTTTGAGGGGTGCCGAATTCTTAAAAAATCAGTCTGAGAAATGGCTTCCTTGGATCAGAAGGATGTAGCTTTTCAAGGCCACATGAACTAGAAATTGGACTAAGATCAGGTGTGGTCAGATGGAGCATGTCTTAAATATTGTGGCTAATTTTGATCTTTTTGATTCAGTGTGGTGACTGCTCTTCACAGCAACGCTTGTGTCTGTGTATAAGCAAGACGCTGTGATTTGAGCTGTGTTGGTTGGTTCTACCACCTGCCTTCAGGTGTGGATAGTTCTCTTTTCTGCTTTTTTTTTTTTTTGGTCATGTTTTATTTTTCCTAGGTTTGGGACACTTTTACTATTTATATTCTTTATGTACTTCAGTGCTGCCTCAAACATGGCTTCCCCGTCAGTAGCTGCGAGAGGAAGCAGGCTGTGAAAGCAAGTTGCCAACGAACTTAATTTAACATGGTTATGTTTAGCATCTTGGGCTTTTTCCTATTTGCATGTTTGTTTTTACCAGCCTGTCTTGAATAGCTGCAGCCAAAAACATTGCCTCACGTGCTCTTAAAGAGAAGCACAGAACTGTTTAGATTGGAAGGAACCTCTCAAGATTGTCTAGTCCAACCCACAAGGTATGTGAGGGTTTAAAGAGGTTTATGGTATTTAATTTTGCTGACCATAAGATGGGCCCATGTAAACCCAAGGGTGCATATATAACTTTTTTGATCGGCTGATACCAGCAGAAGCTTGGTAATTAACTCTTTTGTGTCTCTTGCTAAGTTTGCATTAGGGAGAAAGGAAAAACTTTTTCCCTCTCTGATGTGTAGAATTTATTGCCCTTCCTGAATATCTAAAGGAAAAACATGACTCTCTCAAAAGGAAAAACATTGCTCTCTCAAGATGAGTCTGTTCAAATTTGTGCTTGCCTGCTCTTGGGAATATTGAGGGAGTACTTGGGGTTTTCTGGTTCAAACAGAATTTCTAAATTTTTGTTACCTTTTTTAACCGTACATTTTTTTAAAGCGTTGGTTAGAGACTGAAATTTGCAGATTTCACTGCTGTAAGACAATATTGTTAGAAGAAAAGGGCCTCTCTGTCCTCCTCTGGCTCTGCAACTTCTCCCATGCTTTAGCCTCTGAGACTGGAGTTTGTTTCTCCAGTGGTTGAGCACGATGGGCTGAGTCCCTGTTCCGCTCCAGCCCCTTAGTGCTGAGAGAAGGCAGCCCCAGCCCTGGGGAGCGATGACTGTTTAAATTGGCTCTACAGGTCGAGTGGAACTGGCAGAGCAACCGTACGTAGCTGCCTTGGCGATTTCCCTCTTCGGGGGTGTGTGGAGAGAGGGGTGACCAAAGAACACCGTCTTCTGGCGTGCCCTTAGCTGTTGTGACGGTTTCTGGAGAGAAGGGCATGAGAGGTGTGTGCAAGTAAAATGGGTCAGAGACAACCAAAAAGCTGTTTACAACTAGGCTGGAATTACACAGTCGAACACAGGTAGCCAAACCGTGACTGTAGCTTGTTGGGCAGAACAGTAGTCTTCAGTCCTGCAAGCTGGGACTTGCGTGTTGGTGGCGGTGACTGTTTTGTTTTTGTTTTGTAATTATTCAGCAGAAGTTACGAGGCCATGCAGCTGAAGAGATGCTATCATTGGGAATGTACCAGTGGAGATGCTGAGTCATAAATAGCTTGGTTTCAGTGTGGTCAACAATTGGAATGCTCGCATGGTTAAATTTAAAGTGTGGGGTTTCCTAAAAGTATTTTCTTCATAGTAAATACAGTCCCCGTTTTCACCACCCTTTTTGGGTAGAGTTTTACAGCACACCAGCTTTTTTTCCGGCAGAAATAGTCTGAAACTAGGATTAAAACTTGTCAAGGGACCCTCTAGTCTGCACGTGAGAACTTGAAGCAATTCATCTGCCAGGGTATTTAGAACTAAGATATTTTAATCAATTACAAGGCTTTTTACTGTATTCCGTTTGCTGTGTTTTCTGTTGTAGGTTACCTAAGAAAAGAAGAACGTGACTCGGCTGCTGCTCTGTCATGATGGGGTCAGTTGTGTGGGAATGTGGTTAAACGTTTTAATACCTTGACCTCACAGATGCTATATAATACTGAGAAAAGAAAAAGCAAGATTTCTCACACGTGGGTCTCAAAAACATCATCTCCTGGACTGAGCTAAGAATGTTGTACACCAAGAGCATTCCAGTTTTGAAGAACCTGAAACAAGGACTGAAAACATCACCGTCGAAGTGAGAACTGGGGGTACATGAGGAGCTGAAAGAGCTTTCTGACGGGGCTCAGTAACCGGCCTGTTCCCAGCGAGGAAGGATGGCTGTTAGCTGGATGTTCTGCTACCTTTGGCTTTTGGATGTTTTGGTGGGGCACACGAGAGGGCACAGTTTGTTTTCTTGTGAGCCCATCATCTTGCGGATGTGCCAGGATCTGCCTTACAATACCACCTTTATGCCTAATCTTCTGAATCATTATGACCAGCAAACAGCAGCATTAGCAATGGAGGTAAGGCTATTTTTTTTCAGCAATATATGTATTTTTGGCCTTTAGTTGGCAAATAATTGGTAACAGAATCCAGGAAGATACTTATCTTGATGGTTTCATTGTTATTTCTAATATATTTTAAATATAAAACCAAATACCACTTGCATAAGACGTAGTATGTACTAAAATATTCCATGACTACGAAATTTGCCTGATTTAGTATAACTGAGTATGAAATACTCTGGATGTGTTTGTGTGTTAGTCTGTTACTTTAAATATTTAGACAGATCAAGAAAGCGTGTTTTGAATGGTCTGTCACTTAACTAAATGCCAGAAAAACAGCATCCTGAGCAATGAACCGAAGATTTTTAGATCTGAAGACTACGCCCTTTGGTCGCTTTGTAGTATTTGGCCTTTTCTTACTCTCCTAAAATTTGGTGTGAAGAAAATGAGAATGATAAGACATACCATGAAAATAATGGAAATTGCTCATTTATTAGTGCTGCTTTTCTCAGCTGCAAGAAACTCTGTTGCCTTGCAGAGAGTTTGATTAACCTGTTTCTGTTCCATAGCCTAGCAGACAAGCTTTTAGACTGGCACTTTCTTGGTTATAATAGTACCTCACTACTGTCACCATTATTCCCCAAAACCTTCTTTGGACTTACACATAATCATTTTCTCCTTTTTTAAAAAAAACCCACCACATTTCCGCTCGTATTTCTCTAACCTTTCTTTGGAGAACTTTCTTGATGAGGCTTCAGCCACACACTTCAGTCTCTTTTTATCCGTAATCTAGTTTATACAAGACTTTTGAGTTCACTCAGTCTGTTCTCTGTGCTGCCACCCTGCCTGAGGAGTTTCCCTACTCGGTGTTCTGTGATCTGACTGACGCTGATGGGCATTCAGAATGTGAGGCAAGTCTCGCAGTCAGCCTCTTCAAATTTGCATGAGAGATTTGTGCAGATTTGGTTTATTTGTATTTTTGAAATGCTTGGGAATCCTTGCTGGTGGGTATGTGTTGCTGTACGCTGAGAACAGAAAGAGTAATCATGTGTTTTCGTCTCTGAATGCTCTTCCTGACAATAAGGAAACTGAATTTAATTGTTCTTGTGAAATAATATAAAGCCAAGGCTTTACATGGGCTTTCTGCGGAAGAGTTGTGAACCAGATTTGATAGGCTTTTTACTGTAAGGAGAAAATAGAGATTCTTAGCCTTAAATTTCCTTTGTTTGAAAGAACTATGGACTTGCATTTCAGTGGCTCATTTGGATGTGACCAGGGATCCGAATAATACTAAATACGTAGCAACAGGAATTAATTTTATTTCAGAATTTGTTCTGGTAAGTTCTGAGGACTTTTGAAGATTTAACTGCAAGAGGAAAAAGGAAGCCAAAGCAAGTAAGCAAGTTTAGTCTGTGAACAGCTAGGTGTGAGCAAACTGTTTCACTTTGAAGGTGGAACTTAGGACGTTAAAGGAATCGATGAACCCAGCTGGATTGAAGACTTCTGGGAGTTGGTTTGCAGAGGTGTGGAGATAGTGGGGTTTGGTTTTGTTGGGTGGTGGGAGCAGTAGGTGTTCACCTCTTGGAGTGGAAGTGGATGATCAGTGGAAGGCTTTCAGGATCGGCGCAGCTCAGTATTTTCTTAAATGATATAGAAGAGGAGGTTAGCAGTAAGGTAAGAAATCCTGTTGCTACTGTTGTGAGTAACTTAAAGCTAAGGTCAAACCAGGATGAAGACATGTAAAGATCTAGAGATTATGTGGGAGAAACACTGAGTTTCCTCAACAATTTTATGGCTCAAAGTGATAAAAATGCACTTGTTGGGGGGAAATAGTAGTCTTCACATCAGTGGTGGCGGTCAGCTTATCTCATTTGGCTTAGGATGGTTTATTCTGTTGAAATGTCAGCTGAAAGATCGACAGAGCAGTAAGAAAGCCAACAGGAAAACCAGGCATGTGGGATAACTAGGAAAGAAATAAGGACCAGACATTACAGTGGTGTTATACAGTCCTGTGGATCACAAATTGCAGGAGCATTGTGTGAAGTTTTGAGGTAGCTCAAAAAAAAGGTGTTTAAGCTGAAAGAGGGCTGGAGAAGAGCAGGAAGAATGACCACAGGCCCGGGAACATCTCTGTGTGAGGAGCTTCGCCTATGGCAGGATGTTGTAGCCTGCTTTTAAAATGGAAAATAGAACTCCCAAACCACCACCACCAACTGCCACCCTAAGTGACATGCAAAGGCTTATGGGATTGGCTGTACATTGCCCCTTCCAGCGCAGGAGCTAGGCTCCATCAAGTGAAGTTGCTGGAAGCCAAGCCAGAACAAAGAGGAAGAGGTGGTTCTTCAAATAGCTGGCAGTAGAGCTGTGAAACCCAGACAGGGCTGTGGATGCAAACTGGTTGAGGAAACTGGACTAGAACTTGGAAGAGAATGCTGAAGAGGGTGACTAGGTAGGGGTAAAAAACCCCAACTTCTTCAGTGTCCAGAGTCCCTGAATTTTGGTTGTTAGAGGGTATCTCCCTGCCTGTTCCCTTTAGTGTCATTTCATGGCTCTGTTACCAATGAATTTCTCTCAATTATTTCATGGCTACAATACTATCAACCAGTTCACAAGCCACCATGTGAAGAGGTACTTATTCTCTAACCTGTTTTAAACCAGTTTCCTGCTAATTTCATTTAATACCCTTTTGTTCCAGTATTGTGCAATATTGTGCTGCAGTTAAATCCTCTGTTACACTTGTGATTTCGAAAACCTCGGATTTATCCCGCAGAGTTTTCCTCTCCAAATTGAAGAATTCCAGCTGTTTGGGCTTTCTTCTTGCAATTCTGCTGCTTCGTTCATGTAATAATTTTAGTGTTCCTTTTCCGAGCCTTTTCCTCGCTGGGGTACAGAGATGAGAATGGCAACAGCGCTGCAGATGTGGGCACACTAGGGATTTCTTTATAAGTAAAATCACGCTTTTTCCTGCTAATAGCTTCCTTGTAATGGCCAACGTCATGTTCATTTTGCTGGCCTTTGTTGCATGTTAAACCAATGATTTCGGAGAACTGTCAAAAATATCACTTTCACTAACAGTCTGGTTATGGCCTCTGTTGGAATCAGAGCAGTAATTATAGGGACCCTCAGCTTGAGCCAGAATAACTGGTGTAATTGTTCTTATCTTCGTAAAAGAGCTTTTCTGCTACAGCAAGGGAAACGGTCGAGGAGCCAATGTTCCTTCTCTGCACTCCATGGCCTAAAGCTCAGCTTCACAGTGTGAATTAGCTCACATGAAACACCGTGCTGCTGCAGCTCGCATCCTAGCTCGATGCCAAAGCCATTCTTCGAGTTAGCATGGGTGTGTTGATGTCGTGGGAGTAGAGGGTGCTCCCTTCTGCCAATATAATTAGGATATAGACCGGTGGGTTCAGCTTGGGGATGGACTGTGGGCTGCTTCTGAATCCGTCATGAAAAGCGGTGAAGGCTGTGGAAGGAAACGAGGCTATTATCAAGCTTAAATTCACGGTGCAGGGGCCTGTGCCTCCATTGCAGGGTTTTTTTTAAGGGTTTGAATATGAAAAAAAGAATGAAAAGCCACAGGTTTTCATAAGTGTATTTCCACTCCTTGTATGAGCCTAGATTGCCCCTTAAATCTGTACTTAGCGGGAGGGAAGTTCTTATTATTTGGCTTTTTAGACATTAATTAATGTTGCAGGCAAATGGACGGAGCACTCAAATTTTGAAATGAGTCAAGTCTATTAAAACTGGCATTGTGACATTTTCTGGTAAACATCTCTCATCTCCCAAGCCCTCCCTGACTGCTGCGAGCATAAAATAATGCAGGGGCAGAATCAGCGTGCTCCATCGTGTGTATTGGGGGGAAGGCCTTGTGATTCTCACGGGTTTTCAGTACCGCTTTTTCACAGTGGCTCCTAATAGAACCCATAAGAAAAATTCAGTTTGCTTGTACTGGAAGAGTACAACACAAGAAAAAGTGAATGTGAAGCAAGAAAGAGAACTGCTGTTGTCTTACCAGCAATAAATTCAGTGTACTTCTCTTCCCGTACACTGAATTTCAGCTTCACTGAAGGAACTGTTTAGAAACTTTGTTATTTCTTGAAAACCCAGAAAGTCTGTAAGTTGCCTTTGCGAGGGTTTACGCTTGTGTGATTCCTTCATAATTGTAATAAAGGCTAATGAGTTATGTCATCAGTGTTGTCTGGTTATGGAGCAGCAATATTGGTGTTAACCATCTTAATTAAACAAAGAAAACCAGGGTATTACGTCAGGAGCCCCTCTCAGTCCGTACTGTCATCAGTTTCTCTGCCTTTATTGACTCCTAGGAAAGCCAACGCCTTAAGCTTTCTGCCGTGCTACATCAGCAAGGCCTGCTTTAATCGAGGAAGCCTGAAGGGATTTCTGCACTCAAGGGCCTGGAGTGTTACTTTCTCCCCAAATAAAGGGGACTTACTCCTTCTGGTGGAGGACAAACGCCAGAGGCACTAGTCCAGCCTCCGTTAGCATCTGCTTGGCTACAGCAGAGACAAGTCAGTTCACACTGCTGCTTTCCGAGAGGAGCAGTGCTGCTTCGTAAGGACGGACACACCGGTGACGGTGGAGTATGGAGACAGGAGATGCTGGGTGGAAAGGGCACGGCCTTCTCGGAGCCTCCTCTCGGCCAGGCTGAGCTGTCCCTGCCCCGAAGCCGGGAGCTGTCCTGCCCGCAGGCCTGCAGGGCGGCCACCGGCCTCCCGGGCCCCACTCTCTGGGGTCACTCCTTTTGGCCGCTCTGCCCTGGCCTCTAAAATGTATCGTGAGGTATTTTTAGGTTTTCCTATAATCTGCTAGCAGGTTGTTTTAATAATATACCCATCTAGCATTGTCCATCTCAGCTATGCTGTTAAAACTGCCCTCTAAATACGTTCATGATAGGAGCGTGACATTGAGATGCTGCTGCCACAGTTCTGCTGTGTTACACAGATCGTGTGCTGAACGAGGCAGCAGCGACGATCAAGAAGTTAAATTACCCCGATCCCCCT